TTAGAGTTCATCAGGTCAACGTTAACCACAGCCGGTATTCTCAGGACCTAGTTTTCCAGTGGATGACTGAGAGCGAAGTAGGGGTTTGCTGTATAGCTGAGCCGTGGGGGGATCCAGCGAATCACTCTCAGTGGTTTGCGAGTAAGGATGCGGTCGCGGCGATCAGGTGGAACCCGGATTTTACGGGCCCTGGTTGCTCAGCATTCTATCGGGCGGACAACATCATCGGTGTTTCTGTTAACGGTCTTTCTTTTATTTCCGTGTACATCTCTCCTAATATCCCCATTGGGGAATATTTGGAGGTTTTGGATCGTTTGGCGGATGCCGTTGGATCTGCTCCTTGTCCGGTGATAGTCTGCGGTGACTTTTATGCCAAGTCGCTCCTCTGGGGTTCCCCCGTTGGTAATCGTAGGGGGGAGGTCTTATGTGGTTTGGCCGATCAGTTGAATCTGGTCCTGTGCAATGTCGGTGATAGACCCACCTGTGTTCGCCCCCAGGGTTCGTCCGTGGTGGATCTTACCTGGGTTTCGGCGTCGTGGGCCGCTTGCGTTTCTAATTGGTGCGTTCTGGGCGATGTCGAGACGTTGTCTGACCATAGATTAATTTCGTTCTCGGTCACTCGTGAGTGCGGGGATCAGGGAATAACCCACACTAATGGAGGGTCGTATCCGCGATGGTCACTCGCTGGTCTGGATGTGGATCTGTTGACCTCCGCCTTCAGTTTAATAAGCTCCGGCATCGATGCGGATGCGGCACCTGATAGCTTAGCCGGTGATATCAAGGATTGGATAACGGATTCGTGTGACTTGGCAGCGCGACGCTGCGGTTCACGTCCGCCTAAGCGCTCCGCTTATTGGTGGAACGAGGAGGTCATTAGGCGGCCATTAGGAGAACATGCATCGCGGCTCGTAGGAGGTGGACTAGAGCCAGGGCGGTGATTATTGGGGAGGAGCTGGACATCTTGGAGGAAGCATACTGTGATGCAAAGAAGGCACTCAAGAGGGCGATCCGGCGCGCGAAGGAGGAGGCATGGAAAGAGCTCATGCTTAGCGTCGAAGCCGATCCGTGGGGTCTTCCCTATAGGATGGTGATGGACCGCCTCAGGAGAGCGTCGCCCACACTGACGGAGTCCCTTGAGTCTGAGAAGTTGAGGATCCTGCTGGACTCGCTGTTTCCAGAGGGGGAGACTCACTCTCCTCAAGAACTATGGAGAGACTGGGACCGCTTTACGATCGCGGATCACGTAGGGGCCCTCGATGTGTATAGGGCGATTTTGCATGGACGGGGGAAGTCGAACCCGGCGCCTGGCCCAGACGGTGTCAGTAGCGTAATTTGGAGGAAGATCGCGGACATTGCCTCGAACCGTCTGGCGTTGGTTTTTACAGCGTGTATGCGGGACGGAGTTTTTCCTCGTCTGTGGAAGAGGGCCAAATTGATCCTGATTCCTAAGGCTGGAATGGGCCCGCAGATCAAGGCCAGACCAATATGCCTTCTCGATGAGGTTGGCAAGATATTCGAAAGGATAATTGTCGCGAGGTTGAGAGCGCATAAGGAGGAGAGCCCGAGTGCTCGTTTATCACCTATGCAGTTCGGGTTCAGGGAGGGCCGTTCCACAAATGACGCGTTGGACGCGGTGCTGGGGGCGGTTCGCCGCGGTGTGGAGGCTAACGGTTTCGCGGCCGTCGTGGCCTTGGACATCAAGAACGCGTTCAATTCGCTTCCATGGGGCACGATCCGATGGGCCCTTGAGCGCAAGGGCTATCCGGAATACCTCAGACGGATAATAGACGGCTATTTATATCAGAGGTACGTGAAATATCCGATTATGGATGGATCAGTTGAGCGTAGAGCGGTGACGCGTGGTGTGCCCCAGGGCTCTGTGCTTGGCCCTACTCTCTGGAACATTTCCTTTAACTACGTTCTAGAGGCCACGTCGAAACCGGGTTGTACCGTGGTGTGCTACGCGGACGACACCATTGTCATTGGCACTGCCAAGTCAGTTGAGGTCATGCGGTCGGGAATTAACGACCAGGTAACCCTAGTTCTACGTCGTATGGACGCTATGGGGTTAGAGGTTGCGGCGGATAAAACTGAGGCTGTATTTTTCAAGAAACACTCGAGGATTCAGGGTGATCCGATATTTAGAGTGAAGAGTAAATTGGTCAAGGTCGTACCTCATATGAGATATCTAGGCGTTATATTGGATTCAAGACTGTCGTTCTTGCCCCACTTTAAACAGGTGTGTGGCAAAGTGGTTAAGTCGACTAGGGCATTAAGCCGACTAATGCCTAACCTCAGAGGACCCAGTGAGAGTAAGCGGAAATTGTACGCCAATGTGTTGGCCTCGATAGCGCTATATGGTGCTCCGGTGTGGTGTACTACCCTCTCAACATCGAGGAGGGGAACCGAGATCTTCCGGGCTACCCAACGGGCCGTGGCGTTGCGAGTTTGCGCGGCGTACAGGACGGTGTCTTTCGACGCGGCTACGTTGATCGCCGGTCAACCCCCGTGGCGGCTTCTCGCCTTAGAAAGGGGCCGCATCTACGAGCGACTGTGCGATCTGCGTGGCCGTGGAGCGGTGGATGGAGGAGATGTTCTCGACATCAGGGAAGAGGAACGGATATGGACCATGCACCAATGGTAGCTCATTTTGGAGGGGGACCAACTTCCGGGCGCGATAACGAGGACCGCCATCGTCCCAGAGTGGTCTAGATGGCACTCGAGACGATGGGGCAGGTCCCATTTTCATCTGACCCAAATCCTTACGGGTCACGGATGTTTCGGAGCCTTCCTATATAAAATAGGAAAAATAGATGATCCCACATATCCGCACTGTGGGACGGCGGAGGATTCGGCCACCCATACTTTGGCCTCATGCACGGCTTGGGACAAGGGCGGAGCTTCGAACGATACTGGGCGGGGTGGATCTCTCACTTTGCTCGATTGTTTCGGCAATTTTAGATACTGAGGAAAAGTGGTCCGCTTTCTCGAAATTCTGCTCAGTGGTAATGCTGGCGAAGGAGGAAGCGGAAAGGGCTCGAGAAAGAGGGGTTCTGGCCCCTGTACATAGCGACTCGGACATTGCCGATTAATTTTGTACATAGAGCAATTTTACTGT